TTTCTAACTTTTTGAACGTCTAAGTGCTGCTAGGACCATATGCTTTACTAGGGCAATACCATACCAATATGTAGTTCTGGACATAGGATATCTGTACAAATATGAGAAAGTGACTGAAGTAGCGTTATCGTGGAGGATCAGTAAATACAATGTGGCTGCATCTATTGACAACTAAAGCCCGGAGACATATTAGGGAATTTAGCAGTTAAAGGATGACAAAAAAGGCGGGTATAGTGCCAGGCCCTCGTCTGAGGATCAAGTCCCGGATTTATATCCGTCCATTTATATCCTAGTCAACCAAGCCGTTCACATCCAGGGTCGGTTGCTTGACACCGCACTAGTCTGAAAAGCTAAAAGCCAAAGTCAACCGACTCTAATGAAAATCGGACATAGCGAAAAAGACTTTCCAACTCTGGAAAAATACATCAATCAGTTCAACAGGGGAACAATATAGTATTTGTGAAAGCTATTAAGAACTGGCGCCTCTGCTGTGCTGATCATATTTTCATTTTCCCTTAAAGTTTTCAATTATGAGCTCCCCGACTATTTTTCCTTGTTTCTGTAGATGAATGGGTTGATTAGTCGACGCTTTTGGGGCTAATTCTTTTGACGAAATTCTCAAAGCCAGTTAACGCCTAAAGCCAAGACAAAACCGATCAGTAAGCTGATAAACCCATCTTTTCTCTGCCATGTCTATCCCTCTTGTCTCACAACTGGATACCAGCTGTTCTTTTCGCCTCATCTCATGTAGAGCAAAAAAAAAAGGGGAAACATAATTTCATCCAATACTTCAATTCGGTCATTATGGACTTGTCTGTAACCATCACATTAGCATTACCCTGAAAAAGCGGCTAAGAAAATCGCTAGAGTTCATAAGAAACAAACTGAGTCTGCATGTCGAAGAACAGCTTCGCGAGAAATATTTACAGCATACATTTTCTTCTTGCTAATTTTTTTATTTCTATATTTAATTTTCGGAAGGGAAGTGTATGAAAGTTTTTGGCATAGGTATTAGTTCGTCGAACTACGTCACTACCGTTCCGGGAACTTGGCGTCAAATAAATAAGGCATGAAACAGGAATCATGGCATAGAGGCAAGATCTTCGCCTTAATCACCCCAGATGGTCGTGTCAGGAGGACCTTCTTCGATGCTGTAGTATTTCATTGTTGTTTAGGCAACATTGATCCTATGAGTGAATCATTCCATTGGCTGCTTTCATAATCCGCGATTTGGCTCGCGAGCGGGGGCGGCGCTTGCCCCTTGTTTACATGTTTGTTTGGGTCCCAGTCCGTATCGCCGGCCGAGTAGTCCCCCGGCCGGCGCCCTCGCTCGCGCGCTCGCGGGCCAAATCGTGAACTATGAAAGCAGTCATTCGGTTTCCTTCTGCTATGTTATGTTTTTGCCTACATATTTGCTGTGAGAGAATGCTAAAGGGACCGGAATCCTATTCGATGTACATGCCAATTTTCTTTAGCAAAAATTCACTGCAAACCGCCGTACAAATACGGTCTCTGAGAAAAAAAAACTCTGAGTACATCAACTTGCACTGGCATCGTTTGCCCTACAATTTCCCTTCGTCTGTTATAACGTAGTACCAGCCTGAACGTTTCCTACTAAACTGCGTTACGACCCCACCTTTGCATGTTCAGTTCCTTGGATGTGGCGCTAAGAAAATCGCAGTCAAAAATGGAAATGGTGGTTCAATAGGCTGTTTTCAGACTGAAATAATAATAAGGACGCCGTATTGAGCAGAGTGGATATCATCAGAAAATAGAGAACGACTTTTGAAGTGACTTTAGAACTACTACTTCTCAGATTGGACCTCAGATTTCAGAGATGTAGAAACCTGTAGGAAGATTACTCTTGTGTTACATCGTTGTAGTTGTTCGTTGATGAAGTTCCAGCCCTCTCTTTGTCTTTCCACGGCGGACCAATCAGTAAGGCCACCAGGGCTATCTTGGTGGGGAAAGAACCACTCAACTGTTCTCCGAAATAACGGTGAATTAAAAAGCAAGGTCAAAAATCTGAAATTGAAATTCAACTGAAAAAAATGTTTTTTCATTCGGAACATTGGAATTTCTTATAATTCAGTATGTTAGAAGGTCACTGCACTAATATTCCGATTGAGGGTTTGCTTCGAAATACCATACTTTTGCCCTCTACTGTTGTGGTGCTCCTAGAAGCTATCTATTCATTTTCTCGTTGTCTTTTTTTTGCTTTCTTTGAGTTGCCCCCTTCCCCAACCCTTGTTACGTAAGACTCCCCATCCTGTGTCCCAGTCAGCTTCAGTTTTGTTATTTCAAATTAATTTTTTTATGGCCCTACTTTGCATGTACCACGCTTCATTCTTTTTGTATCTTTCTTGGTTTTTGGAAGAAAATGCTCACTTGCAATGAATTTCAGTAAAATGCACTTACATCTCCGGTCAGTGAGAGGAGTGGATGCAAAAGGACGAGTTCACATTTCTCTAGAGGATATGGCCGAGATCTATCGAAACTTCCATGCAGCACTCAGTGAGACGTACTGGGAAACGGCTTCAAATCACAAAAGTAAGTTGCTTGGCCTACATATATTATACATTAGTACTTTAGAATGCAAGCAATGACGAGGGTTTCATCCTCCCAGATGAATCTGTTGCCGATTCTTTGGCTGTGGGGGGATATATTCATGTGGTCTGGACGGGTTTCAATCCAAAGTTGGTTCTGAACCATACACACATGTGTTAGTGGAATAGAGAATTCCAAACCTGCCCCAGTTAGAGGGCACAGTGGCTCGATGAGACTTGCTCATATGAATTTGGGATCCAGCCCTGATCAAAACCTCATCTGGAAGAAAAACTCTGTTCGTAGAATGGTTAGTTGGAAGCGACTCAAGGATTTTAGTTAGACAATCGGAGCAGGGGCCCGCAACACCGATATTCTTCCCAGGAAACGCCGTAAAAATGGGCGGGATAGCCTCTGAAAATCAGGCTTAGGTCTTACTCTGAGCCTGAACTCATGGAACCCCCTTACTCCCTTTTACTGTTGACGTATTACCCGAACTCGTATTTTGCCATCATTGCAGTCTGCACCGATGCTATGGAGATGCTGAAAACAACGCATATCTCCAAGAAGAACGGTCGATTCCTCTTTCTGTTCACGTCCGTTCTTTCGGAAGCGTATAGCCATGCTCACTACAATATACAGGAGCTACTCTACGATAACAGGTAGCAAAGACTGTAATCAAACTCTCTCAAGTACTGGTTTCCTTCGTCCTAATTTTATTGGTTTCGAAGATTTTTAGGAAAAACACAGAACTACCTATAAGTAGTGCATCCTAGATTTGACCCATGAGATAATTTCTTGAGTCTGAAATGTGGTTCCTACATGAGTGAAGAGGTGGGATCGCAAAAAAAGCACGAGGTAGACAACCCGAACTTTTGTGTATGCCGTGTGCATAGTATTGCAGCTGATTTTAAACGTGGGTCAAAGCTATAAATACGAAGTGTGATAGCCATTGTTAAATCACAGAGAGAAGGAGAGAGGAGTATTTTTAATGGGGAGCTATTAGTAGTCACAGGCTGCAAGGAAATACGGGACTCGCTCCATAACGTTCCCTCTTAAAGCCCATTGTGCTTCCTCATCCTCATTTTGATTCATCCGGATTTCGAATCTTGTTCTCAGGGATGAAGTTCGAACAACCTATTGGTCTGACATCTTGATGCTGTACAAGGCAGTGATGATGAAAGCTGATAAGGTTAGAAAAAACTTTTACCTATGTATTTTTAAGGTTTCCACCAACTTCTACCTTTGTGCATTTTCAGAATCTAGAGATTAGGAAGAAAAAGTCTTTTGCTACCGTCAGGCCCGTCTAGATACTGGTCGCTCATTATGAACTGCCTCTACTATACTGTTTCTTATAAAACTACTGTTCTGCTTTCAAGGATTCCCCCTTCCTGAACCTGTCCACTACCACCATGCAACACTTCTAGTCATCTAGGGCTGCTGAGTTCTGGTTAGAACAAGCTGGAGCGACATGACAGTAGATCTGAGTTACTATCGGAAATAGCAGAGTTTGAAGCTCTAGCTCTTCTCCGAGTACTNGTATTTTCAAGGTTTCCATCAACTTCTACCTTTGTGCATTTTCAGAATCTAGAGATTAGGAAGAAAAAGTCTTTTGCTACCGTCAGGCCCGTCTAGAAACTGGTCGCTCATTATGAACTGCCTCTACTATACTATTTCTTATGAAACTACTGTTCAGCTTCCAAGGATTCCCCCATTCCTGAACCTGTCCACTACCACCATGCAACACTTCTAGTCATCTAGGGCTGCTGAGTTCTAGTTAGAACAAGCTGGAGCGACATGACAGTAGATCTGAGGTACTATCGGAAATAGCAGGGTTTGAAGCTCTAGGTCTTCTCCGAGTACTGAATTTCGAAGGCCTGTAATGGAGTATGACTAGGCACAGGAACGGCTCAGGTATCGGAAAAACAGATTTTTTAGAATCTTATAAGGGGACAGTTCATGGTCACGGTGGTCAACCAAAGGTATCAACAATAAGGGCCTTTGAACAGACCGAATCCATGATGCATTGGGTCAGACTGCCCTTGACGACCACGCCGTTGACTCACTTGGAGCAAAAGTACAGTTTACGATAAAAATGATCCTCAAATTTCTCGCTAGAATGAGTTTGTGGCTCACAAACACGCCATATAAGGCGCTGCCTACTCGAAAAACGGTCTACGTCCCACATCCGTCGTCATGATCTCGTGCAACCACTTTGAGTACATTTTAGAAGCCTTGACCAGTCCATTTTCGAGCTCTCTCGCTACCTGTACAATGTTCTGTTCCATTCATTTTAATTCATTAGCTCGAGATTTTCGCAAATTAAGCTTAACATGGATTGATAATAGTTCTTAACACCATGCTTCTTTGCGTAAGCTACATAATTATGACGAATGATAGTTGAATGAAAAGCCACAAAATAACACTGAGATTATTCTGGTTGCATGCCCAAGCCAAGGTTAGGATGATGATTATGATGATGATGATTCAAAAAAAGTTTTTTTTTTGCTTAGAACAACTTACCATTAGAATAAGTGTTGATTTTCTTTTGTAGGTATATTCGCATACCAAATGCAGTCAACGTCTGGCTTTGCTACTTCATTTCGCAACGTTATACAGTTTGTACAAAGATGTCGCCGAAGAGGTAAATGCTACATGAAGATTTATGAATTCGAGAAACAGTAATGGCTTTACATCCTGCCACAATACACGGATAGTCCGTGGATCGTGTCCCGAGATGATACCAGCGGAAGCCTCTTAAGTCTCCAATCTTCCGGGATCTGCTAATTGGTACTACACTGGTCTGGAAGTATAAAAGCACTGACTTGTGCATAACCACGCAGGTAATTTGAGTCGAATATCCTCCCTTATATATTTCTCCTCCGATATAGGGAGGTTGTCTTGCTGTTACCTGCCTGGAGGGGCAATCCGTTGGACTCGGGAAACGTTTCAGATTTCAACTGGATTGCATTTTATGTACGTAGTTTTGAGCTCCCATGGGAAGGGTTCTACTGTCCTAACAAGCCCTGTTTCCGTTTATTTTGTCGCGCCTCTGTCAGCAAGTGAATCTTTTCAGAGCGGGTACGGCTCATGGGAATTCCATGCTGTCATCTTCTTCATTGCAGGACTTCATTATATCGCTGTATCAATTAGCGGAGGAGTACTTCGCCATCGACAAGCATAGACTAACTGACTCTGAAGTTGAACAAATCAAAGAGTATCACGATGCTATCCAAACCATTTACTATTTACGTGGTGAACATCGAAAAGTTAATGGTCAAGGCGCCGCCCTTGAGCCAGGTGAGAACTTTTTTCAGAACAAACGAGTCCATTTGTCAGATTTCATCAAGCATAATTGACAGCTATCACGATCCTACGGAATAGGTACTACTGATTTGCTTTCTGGATTAGCTCAAACTGAGCGCCTTTAGGCTAAGCAAATACCTGTGAACGAAGAAAAGACGGTTAACACCTATACTATCCCCTTAATAGGTTCCATTGAACTTGATTTTCAAATGAAAGGAGCAGGTTCATTAAAACCAGTAGCGCGTTTAGAATACCTTGGCCTAGAAATATTCTATTTTGTGGAATATTAGAAATATTCTATTCCCTAGGTGGGATCGGCTTGTGGCGTTGTAACGACAGAAAGTGCTGAGAAAGAGTGAGTTTTCGGGGCCGAGAACACCTACAGAAATCGTCCACTGAAAGTCTCGTCTCGAGTGCCACGTTTGGGTGCAGATATTCTCGCTAGGTCTCGGTTCCGAAACGTCGGAAATCCGATTGTTTCCTTCGAAGGCGTAATCGCATACGGGCAATCGCCTACAAACCTTTCATCCGGATTATTTTATTTCTTTCTCACTAGCAAACATCTGGCTATTTTCTTCCATTTTCCCACGGCTTCTCAGTGATCTAGATGGTGGATGGAAAAACTACATAATCTGAAGGCAAACACACTCTGTGTTGTTTTATACATGAGCTTAAACTGTTTTTAAAGCAGGACTTATAATTGATCACTCGCAATTTTCAGATGAAGCGCCAACGCTGGTGATCAACGAAGAAGACGTAGTTGAAGATGCACAGACGGAATCTCCCTCAAAGATTCCGTTATCAAAGGACGAGCTCTGTGCCATCTACGATGAAGCGCTCAAACGACATCAGAAAATAGTTCTGAAACGTCAGCAGACATTAGATCAAGAGCGGCTGGAAGGTGCCGACTCGAACACACTGGAGGTTTCCATTGTTGAGGAGAATGGTGCAGCTTCCGGAATGGACGTTGCTCAGACAAGCACGCAAAGGTTGCAGTCGAATGGACAGTCAGCACACATCGCATCAGAGGTCGAGTTGGAAAGCGCCATTAAGAATTTGAACTCGTCCGCAACCTCCGACGTGCAACCCAACGTGGCGGAAAACTCGTCAATAGCGAATGGGAGCGATAAAGCCGACAATGCAACCAAAGACGACATTGAGGAACTCATTGAAACATTGGACGCTTTTGACTACAAAGAAGAATTTGATCGACGATTCCGTCAACGGAAGGCCCCACGGACGAACGCTGTTGACCTTCCCGTGATAGGCCGACCTAACAAAGGAGATGTTGTACACAGCTATCGTCGCAGAGGACTTTTCGACAACATTAATTACCGGCAGCCCTCGCCTAGGCACCGTATCGCCTCCATTGACAGTTCTGATAACGGAGCTATGACGCATGTTGCGTTTTCCTTTGACGAGATGGATCTGATCCAAGTCGCTGAGGAAAGCAGGGAACCCAACAACAACACCCTCTCACCAAATACCTGCCTAGCAAACAAGATCGTACGAGCAGTACTGGCTGAGAGACCCGTGAGTCCGATCCAACCTCGTCATCGACGACGGTCGCTGATAATCTGATATGGATATTCATCTTCAGGAAGGCGATATTGTTGAAGAAATTCGGCGTTTCCTTGAAATTTCCCTCTGTGCAACACGTGCCTTCAGTGTTTATTTTGTCAGTTTTCTGTTGCTAAAGTTTATTGCTTTGATTTTTTGGGCTTGCTTTTAAATAGTTTATTTTGTTGATTGTTTATTATTTTCATCTGACCTGAATAACTTGTTTTTTGGGGAAACTTCCAAGCTTCTTTCATATTTCAGCTGATCCAATTCACTTTGAATTCATGTGACAATAACCCGGTAACCCGCTATTCCATGCAAGCTGCATAGCCAGCTCAGAAGTAAGGTTTGATCCGAATTCAGTTCGTTCGGAGGCCTTCATGAGCACAAAGGTTCCACAGATTCTCTAAAAGAATAGTAGCGGCCCTCCAGAAACTGACAAACGAATTTAGCTTCGCTAGATACGGTCTGGAAATGAGGCAAAGTCTGTTAGTGGAGCTGACAGACTTTTGGTGCCCTTATTGTGCTTGAACCCCGCCCACAGTGGGCGGGGTGACCGGAGTTCAAGAGTTTTCTCGTTTTAACAGATCCGATGCGGTCGTTTAATGTTCCCAATCATCTGGTTATGATCACGAGTTGAACTGCATGTGGAAATCTAACAGCTTGCTTGTCCGAGCTTACTCGGCTATGTCTCTTCGAGTACTCTATCAGATTTATATTTTTCCGTCAAAGGCTGAGATCTTCAGCAAGGTGCCCAAGTCTGGGTTCCATTACTTCACAATGTGTATCGATGTACAAAATGTTTATAACCTGTTGATGTATGTACTTACCAAGATTTTAAAATAAAATATTTCGGAAGAGCAGGTAGCATATGAAAAGGAAACTATTAAATTCGCTGATTTCAAGCTTTCTGTCCAAAAAACACTATAAGCAGCTTCTATGAAAATAAAACCACTTTGTTCGGGATGAGCCACGCATTTCGCCTCTTTTCAGGAACGTGGTTTTGGTACGGCTACAGTACCTGGGACGCAGGCTTATTTCGGCTTCTAAACGAGCCTCTTTTTTGAACTATTTTCGAATCCGAATAGCCGCTAACCCATCTCTTACTGGCATATGTCCCATGTAGTTACAGTAGTGGCCAAAAGTCTTCGGTGAAACGCTTTTCCAATTGTGTTTTTTTCCTAATGAAGGGGTTCAAGAAGAATTTTGCTATGTTAAACCTCACCTTAATCTAAACCAGTTACACTTTTTGGCTTCGGAGGCTTCATGTCTGCTGCTGACAGCCGAACTCTCTCAGCGACAGTAGTCGCTGAGAGAGTTCGGCTGTCAGCAGCAGACATGGAGGAATTGATCATGAAAGTCACGGCCACTTCAAGAATTTTGAAGGACCCACGGCAGACGATTTCTTCAATTATCCCGTGCAAGTAGGTCAGAAACTCTGTTTGCAATGCTCAGAGAACGGAAAGGCTCTGATGTGCTTCATCAGCCCAGAACAGGTGGATCACACTCCGGTTAAGGTCTGACCCTCGTCTCACTGCGGCTGACGTTGC